TCCGACCCACCCCCCATAGAGGACCCGGCGAAAGGACGGACCAGTTTACCGTCCGTCGTACCGCCCCCCGACGGCCGCCCCCCCCGCGGGGCCGGTCACCTCCAGGCTCTGGCTCTTTGGGTGGGAGGGCTGCACCCAGACACAGAACCCAGCATGGGCCTCTGTCCCTGCCTGGGTGGGTCGTGCTGAAGGCACAGGTGGGCTGGCCACCCTTTCCTGTCTTTTCCTGACACTTGGGTTTAGGCTTCTTCAACCCTGTAAGAATGTACACATACACACACACAGTTATACACAAAACACAAAAATTCTCATGTACAGTCACACACAAATGCACACACTCATATACAGTCACACACAAACTCACACATACAAAGACATGAAGTAGACACACGAACACCTCTGTATACAGCACACACAGAAACACATTGAAGGCATGAAGAGCAAAAAACAGTGATGGTGACAACAGCTTAGTGCTGTGGTTTACTTCTTAAAAAAAAAAAAAAAAAGGAAATCTTAGCTGAAGGCTGGAAGAGACCTTGGAGGTCAGCTGTGACAGATGAGGAAACCGAAGCCAGGAGTAGGATTTACCTAAAGCCAAGAGTAGGAGCAGGTCAGTGAGGCACTCTGACCAGAATGAGCATTTACAGTCTCCCAACCACTCCAAGTTTCTCTTGCAGCAGAAATTAGATTGGTGCCAGGTCTGTTAAGAGGCAAAAGTCCTTGCACTTTGGAGAGCAGAAAAAAAGACATAATATGTGCAACTTTGCTGACAAGTTGGGGGTAAGGACAGGATGTTGGCTAAGTCAAGTCCATGGCGGCAAAAATGGATAGCAAAGCAGACTGGAGTCCCTACAGAGCAAACTTTTAGAAAAACATTTAACCACACCATGGATTTAGGGCTGTGCTTGCTGCCATAACACCAATAAAGAAATAATACCTGAAGTTGTTTTCACTGTCACCCTGTCTTAACCCCTCATATGTGTTATTTTCTTTTAATCTTCACACAGTTCTCTGAGGTGGGCAGAAACTGGGACTCAGGGAAGCACATAATTACCATGTTGCAGAATCTGGCCCAAGACCCTTGTTCTGAACCCTAACTATGAAGAGTGTACAGTCTAAGAGGGCAAACAAACCAAACACACTAGAGCTGGGGAGAAAAAAAACTATAATCAGGTGCCATGCTGTGAATTAGCTATAGTGTAGCTGAGGACCCCGGGCGGGAAGGTGGTAGTGGACAGCATGCTCCCAATTTGAGGGCTTCTTCCAGATGTGTTGCTTTACTTGTGGTAGCCTCAGATTCCTATGGAATAAAATGGGGATAATGATGATGCTAACTTCCTAGGAAAGCCATGAGAATTAAATGAAATAATGTCTTTCAAGCCCTCAGCACAGTAGGGCAATTGTAGGAATGAAGGAAATGTTAGCTGCTGCCACTAATACTTGTGCTAATAGTGAGTGCTCTGTCGGCTGGAGCCACCAGGGAAGGCTTGATGGGAAGCACCTTAAAGGGTTGTGGTTAGGCAGAGACAAAGGGTATCATCTCCAGGCTGGAGGATTACAATGAGGAAAAAAAAGGGGGGGGGCGGGATTCCACAGCTTTTCCGGGAAATCGCAGTTATTAACAATGGTGACATTACTTCTTTTCATAAAACATCTTTTGGGGATAAATTGTTTCAATGACATACAATTCCCGTTTGTCCTCAGTGAAATAGCTTTTTGTGGAGCACCTATATGTTCCCAGCATAATGCAGACACATATGGAGCCAAATGTTTCCGCAAGATCATTAATCAGCCAGCAAATTGCGATTAGGATGCGTGTTTTCCCCATAGAACAATGTTATATTGTTGGCTTTCTGGGTCACCTCACAGAAGTTTTATAATGTAACTGAAATGCTATGTAGTTGCAGTAGAAAACAACATTGAAGCAATGCTAGGAACAAGTGAAAGCACCCAAAATAAAGCTTAAGAAGAAACTGTGTTTTAGCAGAATGGCTGGTAAGGAAGCTTAAGAGATTGAAATACCAGATTCTGAAAAAGACAACTTCACAATTTTAAAGATTTATGTGGTTTCCTGACACTGGCTCTTTATCATGAAGCCCTCATTTCAAAATGTTTAGTTTCTTTCTTTCTTCAGTTCTGATATATCACTAGCCCTGCTCTAAGGCTCTCCAGCCATGATGAAGGCCATTTCAAGCGAACAGCAGAATGGGAAAAAATGAGGATAGAAGGAGGTGGTGGTGCTGGGCAACAAGTAGAAAGGTGGGAGATTTTCTGAAGATTTGGGAGTAGAATTATGAAGAGGAAGGGGGACAAGGTTGAAAAGATACATGAGTAAGCGTGGGTGACTGCATTATAATGGAAGAAGACAGAGGTGAAGGGGAGTGTGGTGCTTCCCCAAAGGAAGATAAAAGTTGGTGAGGAAAACCATGGGGCCATTTTCCGCACAAATCACTAGTACATAGACATGAGATGGTGGACCTGAGACGTGAGAAACCAGCCGTGTGTGTGTGTGTGTGTGTGTGTGTGTGTGTGTGTGTGTATAAAATCTTACGTCTTTTATGTGTACACACACATACAAATATACATATGTATATTCTTATTATGTGCTGTTGTTGGTTTGTTAATCCTCATCTGAGGATATTTTTCCCATTGCTTTTTTTAGAGAGCATGGATGAAAAGGAGGGAGGGGGAAAGAGAGAGAGAGAGAGAGAGAGAGAGAGAGAGAGAGAGAGAGAGAGAGAGAGAGAGAAACATCGATGTAAAAGAGAAACATCAATTGGTTGCCTCCTGAAGGCACCTGGATATAGGGGGATCGAACCTGCAACCCAGGTACATGCCCTTGACCAGGAATCGAACCCTGTACCCTTTGTTGCAAGGGCCGACACTCCAACCACTGAGTCACACTGACCAGGGCTCTTATTATGTTTTCAGATAAAAGGACATTTCTTCCTAAGTCAGATCTTTGTAACTCAGAAAGCACATGGGTAAGTTTTATCTTGACCATTGGAAGATCACATTCCTTCTAATCACCACCCACTCCTGCTTCCATGCAACTGCAGGCCCTTTCTCCCACCTACTTGACTGTGGGAGATTTAAACACAGGAAAACATATTGAGTGTCTATGTGGTTTAAAATTAAAATGTGATTTAAAACAACTTTTTGTGTGATGCTGCTAGAAATCCAGTGTTGCCTGGGAACATGTGCTAGTATCCAGCCCGGCTGGAGAGCCCAAATGTCGCCTCCTTTCTCGGAGTCCTGGAGAAGGGATTTCACAGACTCAGGAAGGAACTTGGACTATTGAGTCATAGTGCAGATGTGCAATGACCAGAGAAAGAATGCTTAATGGCCTTCTTTTTAAAAAAAGACAAAACCCTTGTTTCTTTAACTTGCTGTCTTTTCAAGGACCTGAGAATG